AATGCGTTTCTGATTAAAGCGGAACCTGAGGTCATTTTTCTTGATAGATGATGTTAAGAGCTTCGAGTGAGACTTGGAACGACCTCGTTTCGATTTTTCTAGAATTAGTTATGATTTTTCAAAGTTATGCCAAGTTTAAGGTTACGGTGAATAGTAATGCGGGAAAAGAAATTTTCAAATTCAGGTTTTTCAACCCGGTAACCTTAGATTGCGCTTCCGAATGTCTTAACTTGGCACAACATAAGGTCGTAAACGTAAGGTGTTACACTGTAAGCCATCCAACGTGGTTCCAATTGATGTAAAATGAACTAGAATATAGTCTATAGCTAAGGGGTTACAGGAGGAGCCTTCCTTTCTTCCATGCACAACTAATCATTTATCCTTTCTAAGATGTGAAGTGGAACCAGAGCCATTGCTTCGACAGGGGAGTTCATCTCTTCCTAGATTCACGATTAGCTCATATGGTTATATTAGTTAATTGTGATTTTAGATTAGATTTAGATTGCTCATCTTGAGGAACTCTGTATTCAAATTGTAATGTGATGTATTGACAGTGTATTCTCTAATTCTGAGTAGATTTGATCGGACTATTGAGTCTAGTTTGACTTGGTATTGTCATTGAGTTGATTGATTTATGGTAACTATCAATTGATGTTATCTTGAGAATTTTCGATTCATCCACTTATAATTCGCTGCCTATTTTCTCTTGATTGCAATCGGCTCCTTATGTTATGAGGTGATGAAGGTGAAGCCACAGTCTTAGGAAGAATCACCACTGCATTTCTCTCATACTTCTAGCTACTGTCTTTCATCTCTGCTATTGTCATTCATCACTCATCTTAAATCAGAAAATTAAATAAATATTAGGTGATTAGAGTAATTCAATCAGATAAAATCAATCTCAGTTCTTACAATTAATTTGTGATTGGCATTTAACTGAACTAAGCTCCTAAGCAATTGACCTCCTTGTGAATCAACCTAGGGTTGAGCTACTGCACTTCTAAGCTTAATTCTAGTATTTCTGAGAGCCCCTAACGACAAGGCAAATCATTCACTATGCTGTGATGATATCTCCCCCAGCGCCGCAACTGGAGTCACAACAAAGTGGCACTCCCTAAGATAGAACCCCCTCCTTTTGGTGAGAGAGTCCGACCCCTTTGCCAACTGAACCCACGGACGAGGGGTGTGCCATCCATTTTGTTTGGTTTGAGTATATCCATGGACACCGATAAAACACAAGAAAAGAAGTTTGAGTGTTTGAGATTGGTTTTTTTTTTTTTCTAGATTGGTTAATGGCTATCTGATTTTGGGCTTCTATTTAATTTTTCATGGATACTGATAGGGCGAGGATTCTTTTGTGCTTTAAGTGTGGTGTTGATGATGATGTGGGTTTTTTCTTTTTAATTTTTTCTTAGTTGTAAATCCGAGATAGGAAAAAATAGTGAGGTAGATGCCACATGTTCATGCCACCTCAGCCACCTCAGCGTAATCGGTCAACTAACGGTTGACCGTTTGAGTCTATTAGGTCAAGGTGACATTGTTACATTTTTGCTACTTTTGGGATGACATTACTCTAAAAAAAATTCCAGAAACCCATATCTCCTTCGCTAAAACTTTCAAGACGAAAATGCTGTTTAACCCTTTTTAAAAAACGGGGTCATTAGCTGGAATTATACTGAAAAAGCAAAACGAGTGAGGAGATGATCATGATTTTCCCTGAATAGTAAGAGCAAATGCGGCGCATGGCGAGCTAGACGTCGGAAATAAAGGAATGTTGTATTTTGGCGCAATATTCTCTCAAAGAGAGTAGGGTATTCAATCATAAGTTTCGCCAAAATATGAAAAAATTAATTGTAACGTGAAGCAACGGAGAATCGGCGAAGATAATATTTATATTTATATTTTAAAAATTCTAGAAGAGGAGGAAACTTCATATATAAATAGAGGTCCTAGAGTACTGAAAATTATGGGAAGTCAGGAACCATCCCATTTTTGCCTCTGAGACTTACATGACAGAAAATATACTTGCTGATATTAGAATTAAAGTTGACCACACTGTAAGGGTCTGTTTGGTTCAATGAGAGGAAGGGAAGGAAGTGATTTTAATGGAAGGAATGGGAGGGGAAGAGAGTGAAAGGATTTTAATATTACCTTGTTTGGATTTGTAAAAAAGGAGAGAAGGGGAGGAGTTTATATATTACCTTGTTTGGTTTATGAGGGGAGGGGAGGGCAAAATATTTTAACATGGGCAATTTTACCTTTATTTTATTTAAGATTATTTTTTCAAATTTTATAGAATGTTTAATAAAATAGAATTGTAAATAACATTTAATATATTGAGCAATACTTATACCAAAATTCTAATATACTCTAGAGCGTGAAGTATTATTGAAAAGGAAGCTGAAGTAATGTTCAGCCACAACTTATATTGTATCCCATCTTTGAATGAAATATTTGGTCAAACAAATAAGCTCATTAGACGTGGGACCTCATTTTTATTTATTTTTATCTTTATGGCTACAAAGCTTTGAGGATTTAAATTTGACATATAAAATTATATATGTCAAAATTTAAATCCTCAAAACTTTGTTCATTGAATTGTCCTTTTTATCTTTTCAAATTTCACATTTACATGCAAAGGAGAGAGCAATGTCTGGAGACAAGAAGAAAAACATTTAGGGTAGTATAGGGATATTAAAAATAAATATAGGGATAATAGTCACAACATAGCAAAATATTGTCATTTTCCTCCAAATCCTCCCAATTTTAGAGGGGAGGTTGAGGAGAGGAGGGGAGGGAAAATTTTTTAAAATTTTCTCCCCCCTCCCAAAATTTGTGTGTTGCCAAATAAGGAGAAATGATTAAAATCCTTCCCCCTCCCTCCCCTTCCCTCCAAATCCCTCGTACCAAACATACCCTAAAGAATTTTTCTGTCCTTAGAATTTTCCTGTAAAATCTTTCTCTTGCACAGTGTTTTTTTTTTTGACGAATTGAAATCTTCCCTGTTTAATCAAAAAAATAGAGGACCTAGGGGTTACTCTTGAGGCATGCACTTGGAGCTGTCAAGAGTAAGAAGTTTTAGAATATTAAGGTTGAGTCAAGTTCTTTTCTCAAATTGTTTTAAATTATTGCGATTGTTTATTATGTTTGAGAATTTTAGAACAGTGATGTTTATGATTTGGTTTAAATTATTTCACTCTCGTTAAATAATTTGGTTTATTGCCTTTTTTTAATTATTAATTATCGGGATTAGTACATATACAACCTCCCTATAGTTATGACCCTAAATTACTTTGAGCTTTATTATTACGTTGATTTTGTACGCCTGCGGAGCAATCAATAGACAATTTCAAATGGAGAATAGCATGTAGTGGAATGAATAGTTCTATTATATACAAATTCAATATATAATGGGCATTTTCCCCAATTCTTTAAGTTTTTCTAAATAATTGCATGCAATAATGCTATTAATACAGTAGTGAAAAATAGTAATTTACTTCCCAATTTATTTCATAAAGTTCTCCAAAATTATCTTAGGAATTTCGCATTGCGGTCACTAACAATTGTACGAGGAACACTATGTAATCGAACAATTTCTTTAAAAGAACAAGTTAACAATATGAGTGATATCATTAGTCTAAGCATGTGCAATAAAATGAACCCTTTCATTGAGTCTATTAACTACCATAAATATGCTATCTCTACCACTAGGGGACCTACGCAATCCAAGTACAAAATGCTCAGAAATATTAGTCCAATATTTGATCAAACTCTAGATATGCTTTTTTTTTTTTTAACCAGCATAGATTTACTTGCCTACATGATATGCACTTAGCACAAACAAATATAAAATCATGTTTCATAATAACCCAATAAAAGTGTTCTTGCAATAAATCTAAAATTTTATGAATACAAAAATGCCCTATTAATTTTCTCCGAGGAGTCTCTTTTACAAGTAACTCTCGGATTGAACATTTAGGCACACATAACTTTCACTTTTTGAAAAGAAAACCATCAATTCTATGATAATCATTACATCCATATTTTTCACAAGAATACATAACTTCCACTTTTTGAAAAGGAAACCATCAATTCTATAATAATCATTAAATTCATGTTTTTCACGAGAATGCCATACATCTCCAGAATCAAAATCATTTTCATGCAAACTTCTAATGATCTCAGGACCAAACAATCTAGCATGCAAAGATGTGATCAAGGTGTATCTACATAACAACATATCAACAACCTCTCTTCCTTGCTTATGTTTCATAACATAAGTTTCAATGAATTATAATCAATAAGCATGTCACTTATTCAACTTATTACCTTGGGACTTCAAATACTTCAAGATTTCATTATCAGAAATAATGGATAATGAACTCTCTGGGCCACAAGTAATGCTGCCGTGTTTCACTAATTTTTAAGCCATTTTTAAGGCACAGAGTTCTTCAATATATGCAAAATAATTTAATGCAACCCCATTCAAATTTTCACTAAAATAAGCTATAGGTTTAGATTTAAATGGGTCCAATGAATATTGCAGAATAATTGGACTACTTAAGCTAATTCCTTACAAAACTAATAATATCCTAATTTGCTTTATTTAATCAATTAATGTCATCTAAGACTCTTAAAAATATTTAATAAGTTTGTTTTGGGCTTTATTTAATCATGTCTAGCTTATTACAACTTAATTAATCAAAATAGCAAATAAATTAACAAAAAAAAGACCTAAGTACTTACTTATAACTTATCTAAGTCCATCTCTTAAAGGTCTTGCATATTCCTTATGTTTCATGACCTATTTATAAGCTTGACTTGTCTTTTTAATGTGGGCGTTTTTGGTGCAAGGATAGTCATTGATTGTTCATCTTCGGCCTTATCCCGCTTCCTTAACTTGAAGATCCATAATAACTCTTTGTAAAGAATACTTTAAGGCATGTTTTCTTGCTCTCGTCATTAGATCTTCAATTCCTCTCAATGTATTATGTAGTGAGTTTTGGTTCGATACTCCTACGAGGGGCACATCTAATGGTCTCGAACAAAATTATTTCCAATAGGTCTGGGTTTAGCAAAAAAAATTTCGAAATAGAGTTAGAAGGAATTCTCTCGGAATTTTTCGAGACTCTGGCCGAAAAAACAAAAGGGTGATTTTCGTGACCTCAAAATAGAGTTAGAAGGAATTCTCTCGGAATTTTTCGGGTGTAAATCCGTCCAACCGCCTTTGCTGTCATCACTGATTTTCTTATTCTAAAATTTCCAGGAGCTACGCCTCAATAGCCACATTCATCTATTTCACTGGATTTCGTGACTGCGCCGTTTCCGTCTTTACGCTGAAGTAGCATGCTATTCTGCTTCCCAGGTTCTCTCGCCCATTCCTCTGCGGGCTTTATATAATTTTGTTTGTTCATGGTAGGCTGCGCAATTTATTGTAGGATGGTATAATTTTGTTTTTTCATTCCAGGCTATGCAATTAACAAGTATGTTTTGATTAAGATTAATGACTTGATAGGCGGGTTTCGCGGGTGGGATTAAGCGTTAAAGTAGAAATTAAAACAAGCAATCTTTCATGTCGAAATGCAGCTGAAGTTTTTATTACATGATACAATATGAATGATAACGGCCAATGTTATCCGATTGCGGGGAGAATCGGATGCATTTTTTATTTCCCATCAATTTATAGCCCTGTTATTAGGCTCTTTAGCGGTAGTGCTGAAGATTCAACTCAAGACCTCTTGCAACCTATGCACACCCTTTACCTCTGGGTGTTTTCTCATAGCTTTTGTGGCACTTCCTTGAAGCAAGGATATAATGTGTTTTTATTTTTCAATTTTTGGGAGTGGGTGGGTCGGGGAATGTTGGATTTACTTATTCTATTTATTTATGGCCTGTCCACTTAGATAATAGTGATTTCTTAGTTTCCACTAAAAAAAAAAAATTAGTGATTGCCCAGTAAGTAGTCACCAAAGGAAATGCTGTAGAACTAATGCTCACTTAGCCATTTTGGGATAACGGACCATAATTTCATGAAATATATAAGAGTGAAAAGGAGGCGGAACTTCATGGCAATAATAGAAGAATTGGTGAAGAGTGAAAACCGGGTTAAGATTCCAAAGGATGGGTAGAAGAATTATTTGTTTTTCTCAAAAAGAAAATTTAATTGGAGAGCAATCATGCATTTATGATACTGTTGCTAATCAAACTATTTGACAATTGTTGCTGGGAATGGATATTTCGAAAATGCACAGCTTTTATTAAAGTTGGGTAAAATAATTCGTTGATGAATGGTGAGAGCTTTGAAATATTGCATTCAAATTTTTGTTGGTAGTTGAAGATGCAAAAAAATTTTATTTGGGGTATTGACTACTGATCACTTGTAGCACTGCATTAGGGGCTATGAATTCATCTTATGCATTTGTAAGTCGTTAGATTGACAACCCAGATTTTGAATGTTTTCTTTGTAGTTGGAAGGTAAAATAAGTAGGGACCATTTCCTATTATTGTTGGACAAATTTGAGACTGAAACTTCATTAATCATTACTGAGTAATGGGGACCTTTTATGTCATGTATTATGTTAGTTTTCAATCACTTTGGGAAAAATAGGTGTTTAATATATTTATCTTACATTCAGTGTGCAGCAACATTTTTGTTTTGGTGGTTATATGCAATGGACAATTGTCATTACAGTTAACGTTGACAGAGAGTATACTTGTACCTTTGCACAAATTATTGGTAACGTGGTTAAATTATGTGATGGGAATGCTAATTTCTTTTTTGTATGTTTAATTTTTTAATCTTTAGATTTTTGATGCTTGGAAATATAAGAAGAGCTGCCCAATCTATTCTCAAAAACCTCAGAAATAGACATCCAGAACTACGTAGCTATGGAGCAGTTCTCCCTGTTGGACCCAATATCCATCAATGCAGATTGGACATGCAATATAAGTTTCCAAGTGAACCACGCAGCTCATTCATGTTTGGGTCAAAGCAAAACTTTTGCAAATGCTATTTGGTGAGAAACTTTTCTGTTGTCTCAGTGAGTAGTGCGGTGACACATCATTCCAAACTTGCTTGGAAAAGGCTATACAGAAACAGAAAATATTCTTATAATGGTTACAATACATTTCCCTCCATAAATATGATTGCTCAAGCAGTCAGCTTGGCCCTGACCCGTTCTTATTTGCTAGTTCCTGGTATTTTTGCATTCACATGTGGAGAGCTAGCATGGGCACAGCAAAGTTGGGGAGCCGTAGAATGTTTCCCTTCACACAGTGCTCTTTATATGCGTGCACAAGATGGGTATGCTTACTTATTCTCATCTGTATCCATGGTGGTAGAAGTCCTTGTTTTGTTAGTGAGAGCTGTCTACCTAGCAATATTATTCACTCCATCCATAGTTATTGCACCATATGCAGATTACTTTGGACCAAAGTTCAGGAAAATGTGGCTTCAAATTGTTCTTCGTACACTTGAAAAAGCTGGTCCAGCATTTATAAAATGGGGTCAGTGGGCAGCTACCCGACCTGATCTATTTCCTCGAGATCTTTGCACCAAGCTTGCAGAACTTCATACCAAAGCCCCTGAACATAGTTTTAAGTACACAAAGAAAACAATAGAAAGAGCATTTGGTCGAAAAATTTCTGAAATTTTTGATAGTTTTGAAGAAGAACCAGTAGCATCTGGAAGTATTGCTCAAGTTCACAGGGCTTCTCTGAAATATCGTTACCCTGGCCGGAAAGCAACGCCCTTACTGGTTGCAGTAAAGGTTAGACATCCGCGTGTTGGAGAATCAATTAGAAGAGATTTTGCAATTGTTAATTTGGTGGCAAAAATTTCAAAGCTCATTCCCACACTTAAATGGTTAAGATTGGATGAAAGTGTGCAGCAGTTTGCAGTATTCATGATGTCTCAAGTTGACCTTGCCAGGGAAGCAGCCCATTTGAGCCGCTTCATTTACAATTTCCGTCGATGGAAGGATGTTTCTTTCCCTAAACCTGTCTATCCTCTTGTCCATCCCTCTGTTTTGGTTGAAACCTATGAACAAGGAGAAAGTGTTGCTTACTATGTTGATGGGCTTCAAGGACATGAGCGGGTTAAATCTGCCCTGGCTCACATTGGAACTCATGCACTATTGAAGATGCTGCTGGTAACATATATGTTCTAGTTTTTATTATGTGTTGACTTTGGTGGTTGGTCTTCCTTACATATTTATCTGTACTTGGTTTGTTATGCATGAAGCAAATATCTTGAGTACTGTTATGACAATTTCTTTCATGGACTTGCTAACAGTTAGACTCTGATTGTTGTGTAAGGATAGAAAAGACTGACTCATGTAACTGAATATTGTCGAGATTAGCTTGTATAGTTAGATGAAGAAAATGTGGGGTTCTTTGAATATGAATATGAGTAGGTTGGGTTGTTACTGTAGCCAACTGCCTGTAAATTAGCACTTTACCCTTTATGCATAAGATTTTGGTTTTTTTTTTTTTTCCCCTTCCTTTTTCTTTTCCTGGGTTTGGAGGAGATTCACAGTTAAGCCTCTCTTGCAATAGCGGTTTCTCTGAAAATAATGTTCTTGGATCATATTAATCTTTTATGTTGTTAATTTACTTTTTCTTTTCATGGCATGGCATGTATTTGGACTGGACTTGTTTCATTGTTTGATTAATGTTTGTAACTTGTAAATTTTTTTTTATTTTTAAAAACTGATAATTAGTCTGAACATAAGTAAGCCTGGTGCATAAGATGATATTGGACTGCAATTTTCATAAATTTATTGTGTATAAAGACATTGAGATGTTTCCTTTCAGGTGGACAACTTTATTCATGCAGACATGCATCCTGGAAATATCCTTGTTCGAGTACCTCAGAGAAAGTCTTCTCGCAGAAGGCTCTTCAAATCAAGGCCTCATGTTGTTTTCCTTGATGTAGGCATGATTGCTGAGCTCTCTGGGAGTGATCGAGTAAATTTAGTGGAATTTTTCAAAGCTGTTGCATGCCGAGATGGGCAAACTGCTGCAGAGTGCGCACTCAGGTTGTCAAAGCAACAGAGCTGCCCAAATCCAAAGGCTTTTATTGAGGTAACATGTTAAACATGTAACTTTTTAGTAGGAACTATTTTGTGGATGATGTCTTCATTATTCTGTCATTATACTTTTTAACTATTGGATGCCAACTAAGATGGGGTTCAATGTTCATTTGTTACGGTCACACAACATATTTCCATATTTTTCATGCATTCATTTATGCCTCCTTTCTTTTGCATATGTCCAGTAAAAGAATGATCTATTCGAATTTTCTGTCGTCCATAGTTCACATTTTCAGAAACAATTGTTGGGCATAGCAGAAACATCATCAGATCAAATCTTTGTAGTTTGTACTGCTAATCACTCATCTAGAGCACTTGGGGAGATCTATATATGTTTTATTTTCACCGGTAATATGAAGAATTTTGAGGCCCAAAAACTACGGAGAATAAATATTTTCTGTTTTCTGTTGTACCCTCTTCACGTTTGGTCAACATTTGTTTTCTCTTATGTCTTCGAATGCCCAAAACTATAGGAAATGGAAATCTGAAATAGCACAGCTAATAAATGAAAAATAATACTACCTCCAATCCCTAATATAAGAGTTAGTTAAGGGTTGACTTTGGTCTTAAATGTAAAACTTCAATCCATTTTGTCTCTCAAACTTGTCATTTTTTTCTCCAAACTATCCCCCTATTGATTGCACATGTAAAGGGAAGTTTCATCAAAGGGTAGTTTTAATGCAAATGATTTAAGGGTATTTTAGAAAAACCAACACAAATTTTTGACAAAGAAAAAAAAAAAACTAATTAACCAATTTCCTTGGTCTACCCAAGCTGATTAAGTAAATCTTATATTATGGACTAGAAGTAGTAATAAAGAGAATAAAATAGGCTGATGGCTGAGTGAATTAACACTGCATTCAGGCTGACTCCACAAAGATTCATCATTCATTGTGATCTACAACATGATATTTATTGCATAATAATGTATTTTTATGTTAATTGGCATCTTGTTTGGCACATAAGTGTGCTTGGGGCTTATAGTGAGTGGTGTAAGCATCTCACAGACACTCTCTGATGGACCAATGATAAATTCTATTAAGAATGAGCAAAGTAAGGATCGCATTCTACACGGTCTGAACTCTCAACAGCCAAATGAATGGAGAATGTCCAATTAATTCAAGTGATATTTTATTTCTCAATGATCATTTTACATGAGGTGAAGCTTGATATTTATAGACAGAAATATAAGACCCCTAAAATACTCCCATAATCCACAACTCTGATTATGGGAAATAACTGCCTAGATAATAGATAAATAAATAAAATTGTTGACTTAATCTGCAAATATCGTAACCCACTACTCCTAAACTTGGGGACTACTTCACAAATCAGAAAATAATCTAAATAAAATGGAAAATATCTAAAATAGTTTAAATAAATATATATTTCTAATATTTCTCTAACTCCTCAAATCACCCTTTATCCCGCAATAATCAGTATTCTATCACATGTCCACCGGCCCTCACATAGTTGGATTCATTGCTGTTGTAATTAATAGAAGCTTTCAGTTATTCAAAAAGATTTCTCTGTTAATATTTTTGTTGTAATTTCTTTCAGAATGGGTTCAAGTGGCTGTAAAACTGAGTTTTGTAAAGCTACCGTGTCATTAATTGTGGATTTTACTGATATGAATCTGTGTGTGTGTGTGTGTGTGTTTTTTTTTTTTTTTGGGGGAGGGGGTTGCTGTAGAAGTTTGAGTGTTTTGATTTTCCCACCCCTACAGCTAGTATTTTGGGGATGTTTTTCCTTCTCACTTAGGCATTTGTCAATTGGATTAAGAGCTGGTGGTCAACAGCTTGGGGCTTGGGAGGACTAAAATAGTATGGAAAATCTAAATTCCACATTGAGTTGCATGGAATACTGTATGACTACCTTTTGAAAGAGGGTTTCTTTTCCTACTAAAGTATCCATCACTTTGTTATGCATTTTTAATGATTTCTGTATGAATCTCAATTATAGACTCATGAATTAACAGCGATTAATTCTTATTTTCATCTTTGAGATACGATATTTTCTTTCATTTGGTATTTTTTCTTTTTATCTTTTATCTTTTGGTGAAAATGTTTTGTTTTGTGCGTGTGTATACGTACATAGATATATACATATGCATTGTGCCTATGTCTGTGTGTGCTTGCCCTATGTGTATTTGGGTCTCTTCATTGTGATTCTGGGGACTCGGGTCATCTTGAGGCTGTTTCCTAACAGGAAGTGGATGAGGCGTTTGCTTTTTGGGGCACTCCAGAAGGAGACTTGGTCCATCCCGCTGAATGCGTGGAGCAATTACTTGAGAAAGTTAGGCGTCACAGAGTTAATATCGATGGCAATGTCAGTACTGTGATTGTGACAATCTTGGTTCTTGAGGTAAATCGATGAAAATTTTCAGGTCTCATCTAGTGCATGTAAATGAGTATGTAAACATGTGGAATATCCCTTTTTGTTTTTCTTTTTTCTTTCCTGGGTATTCACATTGGCTTTTCCGCACACAACTATCTGTAAGTTAGTTGATAGTGTTCATACTTGAAAACTTGAGTTTGTGTATTTGCATGGAGTAAAAGATCAGTCGCATTGGTATGGCTTCCTACACCTATGATAGATTCAGTCCTCAAACTTCTATCCCAAACTTTGACCTAGAACAAGTTGATCCTTATAGCTTATTGAATTAGCATTGAGTTGTTGCGAATGAAAAATCTATATTGACTTTCTTAAGAGTCAAGAAAGTATAGAAACTAAGTTGTCTTAGCTCAGTTTGAAGACTGAATCATTCAAAGACCAAAAGTTGTATTCTTTCTAGGTATATTAATATCTTTGATTGGATTGAGATCTCTATATTTTTCCCCCCTAATGTATCTGAGCTGATGCGGTTATAAATGAATCTGCAGGGTTGGCAGCGAAAGCTTGATCCTGGGTACGATGTGATGGAGACGCTTCAAACATTGGTACTCAGAGCGGACTGGGCAAAATCCCTTTCTTATACAATTGATGGTCTAATGGCTCCTTGAGAATGATATTGCTCTTTTTATTTATTGAGTCTCCTTGGCAACAATTTTGGCCATATAACCCTATGTAGTCACCAGATGCAAGAATTCATTCAGTCTTGGGCTCCCAGATTTTTGTCTTTTGGTCTTGCTCCTTAAATATTACTATCACCTGTGTTTATCTTGCGTTCAGTTATTCCATGGAACTATTCAGTTGCATGATGTAACTACGCGTGTCTGCCACGTGTAGAAGTAGAAGTATATTTATTGTAACAAGTTTTTGGAAATGAAATATGCCCTACAAATCTTATGGTAAATGATCATGATTATTATATTTCCATTTTGACCCAATTTTTGTAGTTAGATGATTCATATTTATATAGGATATGTCAACTTGTTTATTTCTTTTATTTATATCACGTAGGCTTATCAGATTGTTTAATTTCCCTAAGCCCTGTGAAGCAGTTACAACTCGTTATTTTCACTTTTTGAATTTTGATAACTTGCTGCTCTTTCAGCATATCATTTTGCCAAATGCCAATTCTTATTTTGGCCACGTGTAATTTCATCTATTCAACTTAGTACTTGCGTGGTAGACAAGTTTATCTTGTTACTTTTCAGCTATTTTATTAGTTTGCTTTTATGCCGTTTTTTTTTTTTGGGAAATTAAGGTCGCATTAAGAAAAAACACGCACTCACCCTGCCACAAAAAACACACTTCATTTCATGACGACTAGATTCACATTTTAGTCCTTTCTGCAATAGAATTTAACAGGAGTTGAACAATCTTCTTTTGGCTTCAACATGCTAATGCCAATACTACCGTGGGTTCTACATGTAAGAGTTAGTTTGTAATGCAAATTGCATTACAAACTAGTTCTTATATTTAGGACCAGAGGTAATATTAATTAAAGCTACCACCAATACAATTAGATTGAGTAGAAGGAATTCAATGTTAATGAAGTTAAATGCTCAATGATAGTGCCATATAATGCTCAATGATAGTGCTATATATTTATCTTTTTATAATACATGTAGTACAATTTATAGAGTACTTGCTTCTTTAACTTTCAAATGGAAGTTACAAGTTTTGTTGGAGACAAGGATAGAGTTGATGCCAGGTATTTTTATTTTTAGAAAAAAAATTATTCGTGAGTCATCGTTATTTACATCGATTTTGGATCAGATTCTTGTAGTTTATTTTGATTGAATTGATATTTTTTTAGTACACATCCATCCTTGAGTGTAAAAACCTGTTCGTTTTTTAATTTAGGGAATTTCATGAAAGTTTTTTTTTTTGTCATCTTCCCTTTATAAAATTTCTTTCATTTTATTTAACACTATTTTTAAGTTTCTAACATCATTTCTATAAATAAAATTCATTAAGTCTACAAATTAAAATTATCGAATTTTTGATCCAATTCAAACAAAATAAATTACAATAGTCTAATTTAAAATTGAGAATAAAAGAAGTAATTTTTTTTTTCTTTTTCTAGACAACTTCAACAATGTTGCATCACGAAAAGAACATTTGGAAAATTATTCTTTTTTTGCCAAGCATGGGATTAAAATTTATGTAAATTTATGAACTCTGAGATGCTTTAATTGTTTATCCATAATTGTTGTCCTTGTAGATATACACCTATAGCTTCTTAGTTTGCAGTAACCATTAGTTGCAAAAAAAAAAGAAGAAGAAATTTAAGAATTAATTTTACCTCAACTTCAATCATATCTCAAATTTATAATTTTTTTCTAAATTATTTCTATTGATAGAGCATATTAAGTGGTTAGTTCAATACAAAGAATTAAAGAAATTACTTTGAAAAAACTATCATCATTTACAAATAACTAATTTTACTATTTTTTTAATTACAACAAATTAGTTATCTAGTTGATACATTTAAGAATCAAAGAGTATTTATTTAAGCAACAAAAAATGATATTTTTTTCTTTACAGTCTCAAATACTAAGTTTTTAAGGTTTTATTTTCTTCTTCCAGTCTTAGAGTTGGCAAACAATACCAGGGATGATAGGGGCTTGGGGTTTTTGTTGCTGAAATATGAACCATCCATATTATATTTTATTTGAACAGTCCACATTCACTATATAATAAATTTTAAAACATGTATGATACAAAATTAAAATGATCTCTAAATTGTCAATTGTTAAAAAAAAATAATGATTCATAATAAAAGTAAAATTAGAAAGAAATAAAAATTTAAACCATCAAAAAATATGAACATATTTGCTGCTGCACAGTGCTGCTATACAACTAAAAAGTATACACACTACTCATGACATAAAACTATAATTTGTGATCAGATCCTATCTATGCATCAAATTTGTTCAGTTTTATATGCTGTAAATGAGGTTAGGAGCTTGGAGCTTATATTAGTAAATTGTGTTGTTTAAGACTTGTGTATAATTTTTCCTTCATTTTATGCTGTGTGTGTGTATTTGCCACTGCAGAAGTTGGCAGCGTATAATGCTTTGTCATTCAAGAAGTTTAATTGACATGTGATATTCATATAGCATAGTTTCAATGGCATCATATTGAAATAAATTGTTGAGTCTAACATTGGGAATTTTACAAGAGTGGATTAACAAGTTAATGGGAAGCTATTGACATAGCTTCCAAATAAGATCAAATTATTACAAAAGAGTATCATATAACAATTTTTAAGTTGAAATCATGTATAACCAAAGCATACACACTAATATTAGATGAAATAATGGGTTTATATTATAATTTTATTGCAGACAACTATTAACAAGTGTATGTGTATGGATTAACAAGTCAATAGGAAGCATTGACAAGGAGTGTTAGTTGACAACTAAATTTATGGGATAATATAACTTCCACATAAGATCAAATTATAACAAGAGTATAAGAATTTTCCTATCTTCTGTGGATGTTATATTATCCCATAAATTTACTTGTCAATCAACACTTCCTGACTTGTTAATAGGTTCCCATTGACTTATTAATATATACCCAAGAGCTTGTAAATGGATATTTGCAACAAGATTATGATATAGAGCCACCATTTCATCTAATGTTAATGTACATGTTTTGGTGACACATGATTTCAACTCAAAGATACTCTTTTGTTATAATTTGATTTTATATGGAAATTATATTTATCCCATAAATTTAATTATCAACTAACACTTCCTAACTTGTCAATAGCTTCTCATTGACTTGTTAATCCAAACCCATGAGCTTATCAATTGAGAACAGGGATAACTACGTAATTTCTTATTTAGAATGTATTACTCTTAGGTTCCATAGGACCTCCTATTCATTTTGAGATGTTAAGGGAACTTAGATTAATAAATTGTATTGCTTGGGACTTGTGTGTTATTTTTCCTAAAATGAAACTTAAAAGCATAAACATAAATTGAATCTGGATTCAACTGTTACAAAGAACGTAAAACTATCAACAAACAAGAACGGGTGTCTCATGTCATGCTTGATGCATAGCACCTTTTTTCAGTTTAGTTGGATAAAGTCCACATAACTGCAGCTCAAAGTGTGGCCAAAACGTCAACTTTATGGTCCTTAAAACCATAATACATCCCTCTCACTCTCCCTTTAAAAATTTATCAATTTCCTTCAGGAAAAAGGATTGAGAAGTTTATACAGACCATACAATTTTATTTCAATTTCAGAGACACATATTGGTGAATAAAAATGAATAGAAACTAAAATCAATCAATTTAACTGACAGATCTAAAATGTACAAAAAAATGAAGGCATCTAGGAAGGCTAAGACTCACAGAGAGGCATATACTGATATTTCAGCTGGCACAATCACTTTTTACATGTAAGATCTCCTATTTCTTTTATTGCTGTTCTCATGCTATAAAGGGCCATTTTCTCCATCTGTTTTCACCATTGACCAGAGAGACAAAGAGACTCTAGTCAGTCCAAAGAGAACAACTATCTGAAGAAAGCAAGTATGACTATGAAACTTACCTCCAGCTTATCCACTTTTGCTTTATGTCCTTCAGGAGGTAGACGGACTTCATCAATCAACTCCATACACTCAGGAACATTTTCAGGGGACACAAATTCAAGCGTCACATGAACACAACACTGCAAGTCAAGAAATAAATAATTGTCATACATCTGACACAAGTTAGGACATGTCGGGGAAAAAACAAGAAGGCACAAGTTAGGATATACAATACAAAATGTCTACAAAAATCAAATGTTCGACAAAGGCAGAACCTTTATCAGCCTTCTTCTTGGGTAAAGTCTGACTGTTTATACCGTGTAATCTTTAATGCATTTTCCACAAAGGTAGCTGCAAGGCTTTTCACAAATTCTTGGAAGTTGTTTGCTAAAATCTAAGAAATCAAAATTTTTTGTTTCTTTCAAAATGTAAAAGCATGTTCAATTACAATGGATTTCAAGAATAAAAGCAATTGTAAGTTCCACGGCTACTTATACAAATTATGAGCAAGGCACTTGATTACTGTGAATGAGTAAAGTTTAATCCAGACAATTGGATCTTTAGATGATTGGTCAGGATTAAAGCACAGCTGACACAACCACTTACGAAAGAGATATCAAATTGACTTCATGTTTTAATCTTGAGACCATTCACGCGGGATATAAACGCCAGGATTCGCTCATCTCATTTGCAGTAAATAAGTCCATCACTAAATATTCCCCAATATGCGTGTGTACGCACACAGAGGAGCTATACAGCATAAAAAAATCATATCAATGCAGGAGACCTTTGGATTCCTTATCTGGTATGGGCATCCAGCAGGAATGATGACAGCTTCTCCAACATGTTGCTCAAAAGTCCACGGTTCAATTTCTGATATAACAGCATAGACATGTCAATATAGTTCTTTTGGATTGGAACAGACTATCAAACACAGAAGTATACATACCAAACTCCTCTTTAAGCCTCATTTTGTGAGTACTGTCAAGAAAGAAGATCTGATCTAGAAGTGGGTGAATCATCTACAATGAAGAGACCAAATCATCATCAGCTCCTACGAAGTCCAACTAATAATTGTACTGTATAAGAATTACCTTATTTTTATGGTTCTGGGTATCAGCAAATTCAATACAATGTCTTTCAAGGTATTCTATTAGTTTTGGAACGTCTTGTCTGCGAAATACATCCCACTGGGCACCAGAATAATCACTTAGGTTTTTATTTCTACCATTACTTGCGCTATCACAGGAATATCTGGGATTATCAAGCGTAGACAATGGAGTGTTCTGGGTTGTCCCGTGAAGTACATTGGATTCAAAATCAGAATCAGAATCTGTATCTGAATCACATTCTCCACCCTGGGAAATATTGCTGTCCGTACTCGGACTAGCTGTTCCTGCCTCTGTAGAGATTAATGTT